GATGAGTGATAGTAATGAAGTGACATGGTGTTCACTTCTGTTTGCTTATGCAAACTCTTGCCGGTTTGGCATGGCTCTTGAACTGTTTCGCATCATGCCTGAAAGGGTTGTAATTGCTTGGAATATAATGATTGTGGGTCATGCTCGTTGCGGTGAAGTTGAAGCGTGCTTGCATTTGTTTAAAGAGATGTGTGAGAGTTTGTGTCAGCCAGATCAGTGGACTCTCAGTGCTCTCGTGAACGCTTGCGCCGAGTCAATGGAGATGTTGTACGGATGCATGGTGCATGGTTTTGTGATAAAATCTGGTTGGAGCTCTGCTCTGGAGGTAAAGAACTCGATGTTAAGCTTTTATGCTAAATTAGAATGTCATGATGATGCCATAAGGGTGTTTAACGGCTTTGGATGTTTTAATCAAGTGTCTTGGAATGCCATCATTGATGCTCATATGAAATCAGGGGATACCAAGAAAGCTTTTCTCGCTTTCCAGCAAGCTCCTGATAGAAATATTGTTTCTTGGACTTCTATGATTGCAGGGTATACGAGAAATGGGAATGGAGAGCTAGCTTTAAGTATGTTTTTAGACATGATAAGAAACTGTGTCCAGCTTGATGATTTAGTAGCTGGAGCAGTCCTTCATGCTTGTGCTAGCTTAGCGATACTAGTTAATGGAAGAATGGTCCATGGTTGCATCATTCGTCATGGTTTAGACAAGTATTTGTATGTTAGGAATAGCTTGGTTAATATGTATGCAAAATGTGGGGACATAGAAGGTTCACGGCTTTCGTTTCATGACATTCTTGAGAAGGACCTGGTTTCTTGGAATACAATGTTGTTTGCATTTGGACTTCACGGGAGGGCTAATGAAGCTTTATGCCTGCACAGAGAAATGGTGGCATCTGGTGTGAAACCTGATGAAGTAACTTTCGCTGGGCTGTTAATGACTTGCAGCCATTTGGGGCTTATAAACGAGGGCTTTGCGTTTTTTCAATCCATGAGTTTGGAATATGGACTTTCCCATGGAATGGACCATGTGGCATGCATGGTGGATATGCTTGGTCGCGGTGGATTCGTGGCAGAAGCAAGAAGTTTAACTAAGAAATATTCAAAGGCAAGCAAAGGTAGGAGCAATTCATGGGAGGTTCTACTAGGAGCATGTTATACACATGGAGATTTAGGAACAGGGAGCTATGTGGGAGAATATCTGAAGAACTTGGAGCCTGAAAAGGAGGTTGGTTATGTGTTGTTGTCAAATTTGTTTTGTGCAAGCGGGCAGTGGAAGGAAGCAGAGATAGTCCGGAAGGCAATGCTGGATCAAGGGGTAAAGAAGGTGGCTGGTAGTAGTTGGATTGAGATAAGAAATGAGGTGACCTCTTTTGTATCTGGAAACAATGCTTATCCCTACATGGCTGAGATATCCAACACACTCCACTTTCTGCAAGTGGAAATGAGACATACATGGCCTGTTAATTTTTATTGAAGGACCTTCATAGACTACTGAAAATATTTCATATGCAATTTTTATTGCCAACTTTGGTGACACCTGATATTAGTTTATAAGTTCTTTCAAACGATAAGCTAAAACCCAATTCAATAGTATCAACACATTTTTAACACAATCTTTATTGTTGGCTGAAAGGCACACTTCTCATCAATCAACCTCACTCATGCTCAGCAAATATTGTGAGTGTTCTACACAATATTACTTGTGTTTGTTGGGCAACTTTAGGTACACCCAAAAACAAATATTTTAAAAATATAGAATTTATTGTTGCAAACGGATAAAATAATTAACTTCAGTTATTAAAAACTGTTTATTTTGAGAACTTTTTTATTTTTTTAATTTATGCATAAATTAATACATCAATTTTAACTTATGCACAGGCTTTATTTCTTTTTCTCTCTTTTTTTTTCATTTTGTTTTATGTTTTAAATAAATTATATAACAAATAATAAAATTAGTTTTTTTTTAATTAATACAAATGTTTAAAAATTAAAGTAAGATGATAGTTCTGTAATTAAAAGTAAAAAAAAATCATTTTTCTGAAAAAAATCGCAATTATATGATTTTTAAAAATCTTAATAAGACAGGATAATAATTGACCTATTAAACACAATTGTCTATTTGCTTGACTTACTAGTTGACCTATTGCAATATGATTAGTTTCATAATTTAAAAAGAAAAATAAATTTAATTGTGATTTGGAAATCACCGTAATGTTGTCAATAATATTAGACTATTGTGAGTAATATATATAATTAAAATCAATGATTATATCACCCTATTTATGAAATCAAATAAATTAGCTAGGTTTCTTTATTTGAATAAAAATATATAATTGTTATATTTTTATTAATTGATAAATAAATAAAATATTTCCGTTTTGATAGAGATATGATGTAATTTTTATTTTAATTGATAATTTTTTATATTTTATTCTCTAAGTTATACCATTTCATTACGATAAATTTGTCTAACTCTTACCGAAAAGATCAATTAACTATATATTTGTCCTAAAAGAAAAAAACATTAGAATCATCCCATCAAACTTTTATCTTTCTTAACAATTATATTTTTAATAAAACAATACGCAATATTTGTTGACCGTTCTCTAAAATTTTAAGTTTATCAAATATTACAAATACATAAACACATAACCCATGTATCACATTACAAGAATGAGTTTTCAGAAGAGTGTAAGGAAATGTTCATCACACAATTTGGTCCTTTGTGTATTCATATAAAAGGAAATCATGTATAAAATTCTTTCATGTCATTACTTCATGCACTAATTAGACGTGCAACATGTTTTAATTTGTGAAAAGCATCCTGATAAGAATAAGAGTAAAATTTTAATAATTACCAATGTTTTGTTTTGTTTCCTTTGAAGATTTGGTAACGAATCAAACTTTTAGTTCGCACAAAAGATTAAGTTAAAAGGAAATAAAAACAAAAAGCACATGTATGAAAGTTTTTATTCATCAGAGACAAAGATCACTCTACATTTTTTTAATATTAACTGTGTGTATAAATTATATACCTTTGACATAAAAATAAATTACAATTCAATTTAATAGTATCAAATAAGATGATTTGGATGCCGATTAAATTCTATTTACTACTTGTGAACAATAATAAAAATCGAATTAAATCAAATGATGAGAAGCTAATTAAATCAAAATGATGAGAATTTTGCATAGAAGAATGAGATGATTTCAGAATTAAAGGGGTGATTATATATGTTGCAAGACAAATATTTTTACAATATGTTGTTCTACGTTTGTTTTTAACTTTTAATTAAATTGAAATTTATAAATATAAAAGACTATGCTTAAATGTAAGAGCTTAATATGATTTTTTTAGAAAATTTAAAAAATTTATTTTCTTATAATTTAATGATTAAAATAAAGAGATATTCTTCTTATTCATAAATTAAATTATATATATATATATATATATATATATATATTTTTAATATTTATTATATATTTTATTAGATAATTTAAATGTTTTATTATTTTAATATTTAAAATTATTTAGTTGCAATTAATGATTAAAACTTAATTTATATGTATTTGTGATTTAAGACATATATTATTACATATTTATATTTTTTTTAACATACCACATAAACAATTTTGATTTTATAGATTATAATTTTTTTTAATAAATTAGTTTTAATATTAAAAAAAATTAACACTTGATTTATTTGGGTAAGCAAAGACAAAGCATACATGTTAAAAAAACAGTCAAACTTATCCATTTAACTCTAAGATTACCTATACATTCATTAATTTAAAATAAATGTTTAATAATAATTTTGTTATTTTAAATTTTTAAAAATGATTAAATTTAGATATTTTTAAATTTTTTAAACTAATTAAATAAATTTTAAAGAATCACAATCACATTTATAAAATATACAACATTAAAATCATATTTAACTCATGAAAAATTTAAATTAAATAAGTTATTTTTGAGTTAGATTGGGCTGGAAAATGTTGGGTTTGAGTGAAAAAAAAAATCCAAATTGAAGGCCCCAAACATTTTGATGATTTAAGAGGCCATGTCTCCTTGCTTCTCTGTCTGTCACTTTCAGAAGTTAGAAGTCATCGCCCTTTCATTTCCTTTCCCCTTCTTCACAAGGTCCGTTCAATTCCATCGCCTAACCTTTTACAATTCTTTTTTTTTTTCCTTTATTTTTTTAGTTAATGCTTTAAGGTGTTTTATTTTGTATTCATTTTGTCCTCCCTTTTGTAATAATGTTAATGCATGTTCATTGTTTGGTGCATTCCTTGACATGAAGTTGAAAACTAATGTTTTCGATCATGCGAAGCTTCATGTGTGGTTTTATTTTTATTTTTTATAATTTTTTTTAATATTTGTCCGTTTATTTTTTTGAAATAATTAGGGTTTTTACCTATTATTTGAATATGTTCTGATTTTGGAGTTTAATGTTAAATGTGTTTGTTTCTTTGCATGTTTTATTCGGTAATGTATTGAAGGGTTTTCGGTTTTTAGTTGTTTTCTGTAGTTGTGGAATTCAAGCATTTTGATAGCTGGTTTATTTTTCATGTACACACCTGCTATTGTTTTAATTTTTTAAATTTGTAGATATTCTGCCCTGTTTTGTGTTTGAGAAAAATTGACATACAGATTGTGATGTAGGTCTTATTGTTGTTACCTTCTCCTGTTCTAATGGAATCAACTAACCAAATAATATATACTTGCGTTGCTATTTTGTTTATATATCTGTTTTGAACAACAATGAATCTACATTCTTTCAAGATTTGAAGTGAATGACTTGGGATCTAATTTTTAAAAGTTATTAAAATTATGCAGGGTGAATCTGAATTTGGGTTCTATATATTGATTGGGGAACTGGTGAGGTTCTATATATTTGATATTGATCTAGCTCCTCCTGGAGTTGGATTGAATATAGCTTGCTTGTCATTTCACTTGGCCACAACTCCATTATAAGGTTCTGGGATGTGGATTTTTGATGGACTGCAATAAAGAAGAGGCCTTAAGGGCCAAAGGCATTGCTGAAAAGAAGATGGAAAACAGGGATTTTGTGGGGGCTCGCAAAATTGCTCTAAAGGCTCAGCAGCTTGACCCTGATCTGGAAAATATTGCTCAAATCCTTGTAATTTGTGATGTGCACTGTTGTGCTGAGCAGAAATTGTATGGTAATGAGATGGATTGGTATGGAATTCTTCAGGTTGAACAGACAGCTGGTGATGCACTAATTAAGAAGCAATATAGGAAGTTTGCCCTCCAACTTCATCCGGACAAAAACAAGTTTGCTGGTGCAGAAGCTGCTTTTAAACTGATTGGGGAAGCTCAAAGAGTACTTTTGGACAGAGAAAAACGCGTTCTTTTTGACATGAAGCGGAGAGTTCCAATAAACAAACCTGCTACTTCACATTTTAGTTCTACAGTAAGGAGGAACGTTAGGCCCCCCTTTACAAGCTCAAATGCTCAGCAGCAACAGCAATCTAGGCAGCCAATGCAGCAGCAGCAGCAAAATGGATGCCGCCCTACTTTTTGGACGGTCTGCCCATTTTGTTCTGTTAAGTATCAATATTACAAAGAAATTTTAAATAAATCACTTCGCTGTCAAAATTGTAAAAGGCCCTTTGTTGCATATGAAGTTGGAAAACAAGGTACATCATCAACAGCAACTAATTCAACTCAGCAAGCTTCTGACCAGCAGAAAGGTGGTTTGAATCATGGTGCTTTCAAGGTAGGTACCGGATCTCAAGGAAATTCACATGCTGAGAAGTCCAATACAAGGTCATCTGACAAAAAGGGACCTGCTAGTGTTTCTGGAAAACTTAATGGAAAGAGAAAAAGGAAGCAGGTGGAAGAATCCAGTGAAAGTTCTGATTCTATGAGCAGCAGTGGTGCTGAAGATGATAGAGTTGCTGGCAAGGATGGTTATTCGAGTGTAGAAAACCATTCAACTTCTAGAGTTGGGCATCTACGTAGATCTACCAGGAAAAAACAGCAAGTTTCCTATAAGGAGAATGTGAACAAACATGATGATGGCTTGAAACGAAGTGGTGATGGTGAGAAAGCTAAAATGAATGATCAGAATGGTTTAGCTGCTGAACCCAAAGAAGTAAATCAGAAACAACACTTGTATTCCGAAAGAAATGAGGAAAGTAACACAGTAAAGGGAAAAGATGCTGTGGGAGGGTCAAAGCAGGTGGATGAAACATCAGGGCATTCTCCAGATTCAACTTCCAAAGTATCAAATCAACCAAATGTTTATGTCTTTCCCGATGCAGAGTTCAGTGATTTTGACAAAGACAAGAAGAAAGAATGTTTTGCTGCTGGGCAGATTTGGGCTGTCTATGACACAGCGGAAGGTATGCCTAGATTCTATGCTTTAATTAGGAAAGTTCTCTCTCCTGGATTCAAACTGCAGATAACATGGTTTGAATCTCATCCGGACTGGAAGGATGAAATCAACTGGGTGAATGAGGAATTGCCTGTTGCTTGTGGGAAATATAAACTTGGTGACTCTGACGTCACTGAAGATCATCTGATGTTCTCTCATCTTGTTTTGTGTGAAAAAATTAGTCGTAATACTTTTAAAGTGTATCCTAGAAAGGGAGAAACTTGGGCTCTATTTAAAAATTGGGATATTAAATGGTACATGGATGTGAAATCTCATCAGCTGTACGAATATGAGTTTGTTGAAATCTTGACAGATTATGTTGAAGGTCAGGGTGTATATGTTGTGTATTTGACTAAGTTGAAAGGTTTTGTAAGTGTCTTCCTTCAAAATATAAACGAAGCTAATAAATCATTTCAAATTTCATCCCTGGAGTTATTTAGATTCTCTCACAGGGTTCCATCTTTCAAAATGACTGGTGAGGAAAGGGCTGGGGTACCTGCGGGATCGTATGAACTTGATCCTGGAGCTTTGCCAATAAATCTTGCAGAGATTGCTGTTCCTGAAAAGTTGGATGAGAAGGTTGGTCACAGTTCGTCTGGCGGTGACAATACAGGGTCTTCAAATAGATCAGAACCCCTGATGACATCTGAGGGAGGTACGTCCAAACCCAAGGTTAATTTGAAAAACAGCAATTTGGTTAGAGAGAACAAGGAATCTGTTGATGACAGTGATGATTGTTATGCTCCTCCAGCACCGAGATCAGAAACAATAGAAATTCCAGATACTCAATTCTATAATTTTGATGCTGGGAGATCCTTTGAGAAATTTCAGATTGGTCAAATTTGGGCATTTTACAGTGACGAGGATGGATTGCCAAAATATTACGGTCACATTAATAAGATTGTGACAAGCCCAGATCTTGAATTACACGTTTCTTGGCTCACTTGCTACCGGCTACCAGAGAATACCACTAAATGGGAAGACAGAGATATGGGTATGCTTATTTCATGCGGCCGATTTAAAGTTAATAAAACAGATGAATTTCAAAGTATTTATAATACTACCTCATCTGTTTCACATCAAGTGCATGCTGATGCTGTTGGTAAGAATAAGAATTATGCCATCTTCCCGAGGAAAGGGGAAGTTTGGGCGTTATATAGAAAATGGACAAATAAAATGAAATGTTCTGAGTTGAAAGATTGGGAGTATGACATAGTGGAAGTTGTTGAAGTGACCGATTTGTTCATTAAGGTTTTAGTGCTGGAGTTTGTCAATGGGTTTAGTTCCGTTTTCAGGGGCAAATCAAATGAAGGATCATCTGTCAACCTGATAATACCCACAAAAGAGTTGCTTAGATTCTCCCACCAAATCCCAGCTTTCAAACTGACAGAAGAGCATGGCAATTTAAGAGACTTCTGGGAACTTGATCCAGGTGCGCTACCAATTCATTATTATGGCGTGAGATAAAAGACAGTGGGTGACTTAATATCCCCGGTCAGCCTGGGAGCTAAATTGGAGACTCAGTTTTCTTTTACTTAGATTAGATGAACCTTGTGCAGTAGGGTATGATATGAGGCACCGTAAGATGTGTAGTAACATTTTGTTATTGTTCTTCTGGTAGTGTAGATTTTAGTGGTAGGCTGGGAATTACACCAGAAGTGAGGATTACAAAGAACTCACTGCATGTCGGTGCACTCTTTTCTGTTTTCATGTAGAAGTCATATGATCTTTTCTTCAACCCTAGGCCAGACATCTTTTTAACAGAAAAGACTGACACTGACTTCTATGCCTCTGGCTTTCTTTAATGTAATTTGGATGAACTTTCAGCCATGGGCATTGCAAGTATAACACCTCGTTTCCTCTCTTTCTGCGTCTTTCAAAGCAGTAATCAAAGAAGTATGTTACGTATTTAAAATGTACATGGAAAAGCAAAACAACTGCACAAAAATTTATGTACTTTGATTTTTATAATAACTGTCTACTTTTTTTTTAAGAAGCAGAAATAAACAACAGAAAGAAGAAGAGTTACTATATTTGTTTTAAATTATGAAACATTTGATTTCTTTAATTTTAATTTGAAAAAAAAATACACTTTCTAATCCGCAATTTTTAACACATTTTCTCTTATAAAATTTTACATTATTTTAGTTTAAATAAGTTTTTGGTACTTCCAAATTGGTCTAAATTGAAATTGGTATTTCCAGATATTCTTTTCAGTTTTTATGTCTAATATTTAGTAAGTATATTATTTTGGTATTGTCATGGTAATTTTGACACTGTTAAGTTTATGGTTTGGCATGCACCTTCTGTGTCATAGCACATTCCGGAAAGCAGAACAGAAACATGGTATGAGAGCCATTAATTTTTTTATAAATTAATAATATTAATATTTATTTAAAACCGATTGGTCCTATTATTATTCTGGAATCATGGTAGAAGTAGCCTTCAAATAATAAACAAACTTCAATTAGTGCATATCTAGAAAAGCATCATTGTACAACTTGATAATTTACTAAAGTGGTTAAGATCTATGTAATACAGATTGATTATTTATTACTATTATCAATTTTTATGCAAGTGGGCATTTGGTCTAGTGGTATGATTCTCGCTTTGGGTGCGAGAGGTCCCGAGTTCGATTCTCGGAATGCCCCTTCGTTTTGGTTGGTGTTTGACCTTATTATATGCTTTTTGTTCGTATGCTTTTATATTACAGACCTGACAAAGCAAAGTAATGAAATGCTGAATAAAAGCTCTCGATAAATAGGAAATAGGTTGAATTACAGGGTTCACTAAGTAACAAAAATGAACTCCAATTAACAAATGGTTAATGCAACTAATGGGAAATGACCTTATAAACGCGTTGAGGAACCTTCCGAAATATAGCCAACATGAGATCCAAGTAAAGAGGGAGTTGAACCAACACAAAAAATGATACTGGCAAACATGTCACACCATATATGAGATAGACTGAAGATTTCATTCCATCTTCAATTATAAAGTAGTGTCCCGCGCAAAAGGAAATCAATATTGATGCTATAGATGTCCAGAGTGAAGTCATTCCCAGGAGAAGCTTTTTAGGCAAGTGCATAGCAACATCCTTTTCTTGGAACCTAGATGTGAGTATTGAAAGAAACAAAACCAGGGCTGTAACTGAGGAGCATAGTGCCACAAGTGATGCTAGAGCAAATACTTTGAAAGCAAGTTGACCATTCAATACTGGCACACCAGTTTCCTCACTGGCACCCCCTGGTATTGCTGTTGAGGTTGTGAATGCAACTGTTGCAACAAGTGCTGCAACTAGTGTGCACGAGTCTGAGGTCTTGGACAGCCATTTCCTTCCCTCTTTCACAAGAAGTTCGTGACTGTTGATGAAAACCTGTTTAGCTGTTTGTCCCTTGTTATTGTATCGTGCATAGAAATTCGGTGGCACGGAATTCTTAACAAGCTGAAATGGCACAAAAGTTATAAGCAAAGGAAAAGGGAAACTTGTATGTACCCCCGTTTATAATTTGAAACAGAAACCAAAGACTAAAAAGTGAAACTCAACCAAACAACTAATTGCTGGGAAATGACTATGTTTCTGTCAGAAACTAAATGTGAATCTCAGATGATACAAGTGCATAGCTCATTTTCTCTTTAAGTTTTATTACTATACATTATGAAAAACTTTTACACCATCAAGTCATTGGAAACCATCATTGATATATGATATTTAAGATAGTTATTGTGAAAGTTAACAAACTCACTGTTATACACAATGTTTTGCGATTGTATGACATAAAAATATGATGGTACATATTCTATTTTCTCTTTCACAAAACACTTGTTAACATTCTAAAATTATTAGGATTGAAACGAAGAACATATACCTTGTACCACTTATATTCCCACTGCATTTGCATGGCAGCACCAGGGACAAGCCAGGGCTTATGATTCCTATACGCGGCAGCAAGGTGCAATGCACTGTTACCTTGACTGTCTATGTGACGAAATGCACTTTCCTTCACCAAATTCCTCTTTGTGAGCAGCTTGTAGACACGAGGTTGCCTGTTCTCTATAGCTAAAAGAACAACATTCTTGTTGTCGGAATCCACATCGTGGATAGCCACCGGGAAGGTATCTAGAATCTTCTCCACCATTTCATTCACTCCCGTCTTTGCAGCAATTAAAATTGGTGACACCCTTTTCTTTTTCTCAACCCTTTTTTCAATATCATGGTCATGCTGAAGATCAAAGGAACTATTTCCACTGTAGTCATACTTGTACAAAGAAGCTCGCATAATCAATTCATCCATCACTTTCTTTGCCCACATGTGTTTCTCCTTCTTTCGTTGGATTTTGTCTATCCAAGATGCTCCTGTTACAATTACACGTGTGTCACTCAATTTAGCAAAGTAATCATATAAATGATATGTTGTGATGTACATGTACTTACCCACACCAAAAAGTATTAGCAAGGCCTTCATCATAATTATTAGAAATCGAATGAACACTTCCCAATTCGGAGGAAATCGGTGTAGTTTCTTTTCTTTATGTGCACGCTCTTGTAATGTGCAAAAACAATATAGAACGTGTCAGAAAATGTGTATAATTGACTATTCAGAACACCCCTTAATCAAAAATATTGAATGCAACACTTAAAATTCCTTAACAATTTAAAACTGAAGTTATGTTTGGAGTAAGAGGGTAGCTCTAACATCATGGTTTTACGATAGGAAATGATGGTTTTTACCAAAATTGGTGCGGCATGATCTTGGGAGACTCTCTTCATCAGCGTCAGTTCCAGCTTTACTATCCTTTGTGGCTATTGCTGCAACGTAAGATTGAAGAGTTTTTCAAACATAGGATGGTCATGTGTATATGAAAGGAGCAGAGCAAACTGAAGATATGAAAAAGGATTCACGCACTCATAACTTTAACAACATTCTTAAACAAATATAAGAAGCCGAGGAATGTTTCGTAGTTCATTGGGTAGTTAAAAATCTGTGTGTCTCCTTTATTACTACTTTGGTCTTCCTCTATCTCTTCCTTCAGCTCTTCAACAAGCAAACCTGCCATAACAGTTGCCAGAATCGTAAGAAGAATGCAAAACTAATGTGTAAAATGGAAGTAAGTTGCTCATATAAACTATTTGCAATGTTTAGTTAGACAAGTGAAACTCTGACAATATTAGTAGATGAATTAAAGAAAAAATTACAAATTATAAAATCTGTCATGAATTAATGTGAAAAAAAAAGTTGCAATCGCAAAACTAGCTAGTTGGAAAGAGGTATTCTTACAATTATAGATGATACGATCCAAAAACTCCATCCTTGTGCTGCTTTGGAAACAATTAGGCTTCATAGCAAGAATATGAAGAGGAGAAGAGCCATCCTGGTTGAGAGCATCAGCAAGATTTGGGTACAATCGAATTATCTGAAGTGCCAAACCTACAAAACACATTAAGTTAATGACTTATACATTAAAACCGAAATTTTTTTAGCATAAAATAAATTGCATGAACATATATTATAGGACAGTGACACCAACCAAAGCATTCATTGGAGATGGTAGAGTGAAGAATTGTGTCCCCGTTGGTCTTAATACATGGCGAGCAATCATGTTTGTTTTGTAGGTGACCATGCAGACAGAAAAATGCATCTTTGGAACCATGAATTGCTGCCAAATAAAGAGGGGTCTCACCTTCAAAATTTTGACACAAAATGAGTTTGGGGTCTCTTTTGGCTATGGTGTTGCAAATTTCCACATTCCCAAGCTCTGCTGCTAGATGCAAAGGAGTGTTTCCCATTGAGTTTGGTGTGTTCAGGATAGCAAGAGAAACATATTCGTTAATGTTCTCAAGAAGGGTCGTCAAAAAATTTGCTTGGCCTACATACACTGCTATGTGTAAGACAGTGTCCTCTGCTTTTGTGACTTTAGCTTCCAAAGCTCGAGGATTGTTCTTGTACACCTCCAACACTTCTCTCCACTGGCCCTTCATAGCATAATTAAACAGACTTTCAATCTCAACTATCTCCCCCATTATTTTTATGATCAATGTTGATAAATCATAGCCACTTGGTTTACCTGAGTATATATGTCCAATAAAGAACTTGGTTTACGTAAAGCCCCAAAAATTGTGTTTTTTAGTATCACTTTTGCAGATTATTATATTATATTGTTGTTAATTGCGGCGCATGTAAGAGTAAGTTGTTGGAGGAAGCAAAGAAATCATATGACAATTAAATTAATTTGGTAGGATATAGATGGCAAAATCGAATCCACAAAAGCGAATGAGAATGTGGAAAGAACAAGTAAGTGCCGAAAGTATAAACTAAACATAACCAGATTCTTAGAACTCAGCTAAGAAACATTTCTTGATGTTGAAGTAGATTTGATTCCAATTATTCCTCCATAAAGCCAAAGGAAAATGGCAAAAGGCTTCATATGTTCTTTTCCCCCGTACTAGGAAACCCATTTTTTCATATCAACCAACCACCGTGTACATGAACTTTTCTTGAGACAGGCCAAATAAAAGGAGATAAAATAATATGACAAATCATATAATAAAAAAAGATCATTGATATTTTGACATCCATTCTTCCCAATAACTATTCCTGTAACTCCTTTTTATTAGTATATTAATAATAAGAAGATTTAATAAAAATAAATTAAAAGTAATGTTATAATATTAAAAATGAGTTATTTTTAAAATTGTATGAATTTCATAAAAAAAAAAATATTAAACAAAAATAGACAGGGTGTAAAGAAGGTGTATAAAATACAGTCTACAAAATCTTTATTATTATGCATATAAAAATAAAATAAAAATAATTATCTACAAATAATTTCTTTGGGTAAATATGTTTCTTCACAAAGATTGCTGTGCAAATAGTACTTCTCAGTACACCAATAAAAAGTAATTTATAAATTTCCTCAATGATGAGTTATATATTATTTACATTTTAAGAAGTAAACAATAAAAAAAATGTTTTGATAACGGTTAAAAATACTCCTTTAACCATCTAATATATTATTATAATAATAGTTATATATAAGAAATATTGGGTGTTAAACTATCAACCTTCAAACAATAAATAAGTAAATTTTAATCATAAGTTATATATAATAAATATTTTAAGACAATTAGTTTAATTAATCTTTCACGTTAATATGTTATTATTAATTACTTTTTACTTGATTGTCATGATTGATGATTTAAGATTTGGGGACGATGATTTTCATCTGGTTAGCAATTATTTTGTTTTTATTGTTGAACATTTTGACAAAAGAAAATAACTTAATCCTTATTAAAATACTCGTATAATGAATTGATTTAAAAGGAATGAGTATTTCATTAAGGATTAAATTAGTTATTTTATTTCATTAAATTTAACCTAATTCATCTTAATTAAAACTGGACACTTTTCTGCACTTCCATATAGTAAGGAAAATAACTAAATGTACTCTTTTAATAATTTTTTTTATTTTAATATTTTCTTGCTAAAGTTTTACATTTCCATAAATATGTCAATTTGGTTTTTTTTTTTATCATTTCATTTAAGATAGTTTTCAATATTTAAAGATGAGTAATTATTAATATTATTATCTATTACATGATATTACACTGAAACATTAAGACTTGCTAACCGTTTTATAAAAATCAGATTGAGTTTCAGAATACATAATTAATACATAATTGATAATGTATTATTGGATTGATATTTTCAAAAACACATTCTAAAACATTTATTTTAGAAGGTGTTTCTAGAAATATGAATCCAAAAATACAATTCAAAAAAAATTTCAAAAATATGTTTCAAAAAGTGGGTTTCCTAATATATTTTTAGAATTAATTTTCTAAATATATATTATGGACAGTGGACCGAAATACAATTCTGAAATATGCAATCCATAAGTGTATTTCAGACTCATTAATCCAAAATATATTTCTTGAAATTAATTCTAAAAATATATTTTAGTCCAATTTTTTTTATATTATATTTCCAATTTTCATAACTGTATTCCAATCCCTATAACGTGTTTTCAAAAAAAAAAAAATCTTATAGTACAAATATTATACATGATAAAAAATTGATATAAATTAAAAATATTTTGAAATTCTTACATGTTTCTTATCATTTTCTAGAATAACAGAAAAATGAAAAATAAAAATATTTTAGTAAGATTTAAAAATCAAATATTAAAAATTTAAAAATTATAAATAAACACTTAAGGAGACGAAAAATATATAAAAGTAAAATATAATTTAATTTAATTACGAAGGTCCGAACAAACTATGGAGGTAAAGAAAGAAAATGCCTTAAAATTGATTTGATGAAAGCCCTGTTTTGTACTAGAATTAGATCAACCCATATGAATAAACAAAGTCTTAATTTGAAAATTGAATAAATAAAATGAGCTTGATTCAATCTTATAGAAACTCAACTTTTAAAGTAAAAATTAATATCCCGAATATAATTATTTATGACAAAAATATTATTTTATTAAAAAAAAAAGCAGAATGAAATTTTTCCTTTAACAAAATAAAACACCAATATACCAATTTTTTTTTCAGCCGAGCAAAGTACCGCGCACAAAATAGGCATATATAAATTTTATAAAATGTTGATAACTTATTAAATTATAGATTTGTTAACTACTTTATTTATTAGTTTTTTTTAATATATATGATATTTCATTAATTCAATCATCAATTAAAAAGATTAATTTACAAAGTTTAAATAATTTTAATATTATTTGATATTTCAGCAATTAAATTTTATCTTAATATTGAAATAATATATTTTAAAATATAAATAATTGAAGTTTTATATATATATATATATATATATATATATATATATATATAAGATTTTTTTATAATACTTTTTTATAGGAGATAAAGAAAAGAATATTATGTATAATGAGGAAGAAATAGGTGTATATCTAAATAGTGACGAGAGAAAAAAAATTAATGAATTATAACTATATATAAGAAATTCTCTTTTATAATTTTTTTAGTATATCTATCTTATATTTTTTTATTTCTTTAATCTTTTCTTTCAAATATAAAATAATAAATAAAAATAATAAAAAATATTGTTTATTTATTATTCTCTCAATTATATATTTATTTATCTTTAATAATTCATAATTTAATGAATAAATAATTATATTTCAAAATTAATGTATATATATATATAATAAATTAAAATAAAAACATAATAAAAATAAAGACAACATTTCCATTTATATTTTTACTAGTTATATATAAATACTTTTTTTAATGATATCATAGTTTATAATTATTTTTATGACATAAGAATAAAAAATATAAAATAAAATACAGTTATTATAACATTATATTTTTTTTGAAAGAGGAGGGCATAAAGATTAAAGAATATTGGAAGAAGGGTGTGTAATTTGTAAAATGGAGAGAAATTAAAAAAGCTATTTAAAAAAATAATAATATAAAATTTAGAAAGAAGGTGCTTTAGTAATTATAATTATCACATGATATTTGATAATCAAACTGTAATCGATTTATCAAATTTTCTATGCCGACATGTTACAAACTTGTTGTATTTGGTACACATCCGAAATCTCCATCCAACATGATGAAAAGTAAAATACATATCATTGATTCTCATCAAGACAAGAACAAGCTATGAGTTTAGATGATACCTTAATATCACTGCCAAATCAAAATCTAAAACATATATTTGGTATTCATGGATACCCCACTTCCATGCAGGTCTCCCAAAATAGTCTATCTTCTGATTCATTCACAAATATCCTTCTTTCTGCTTCAGCTTCTAACTCTGCAACTTCATTATTGCCACAAAATTCACCAAATCCTTCATCATCTTCCTGCCCTTCACCATCCTTAGGTAGGTCAGATGTGCTAGTCGTGTCACAGTTACATGACTCTGCATCATCTTCGTTATCTCCAGTGATAGCTATGTTCACAGTAAAGAAGACATAATCATCTTCAGAGTCTGCACTATCCTCAAATAGTAACAAAGCTGATAAGTCCATAGTACTATTCATTTCTTCTCCACAGAAAAGTTGTCTCCTGATCTGCTTAATTTGTAATGTTTTTTAAGGATGAGGGGCTGCATCTTACTCTACTTGCTATTTATCTATGGTATTATCATTTGTAACGTGCACAGCCATTGCAGATCTTTTGCTGGCTGTCATTTCTTGTCAAACAAAAAATTTGATGTGATTGATTGGAAGTTGACACATCCCAAATTAATGGTGGGTTTTAGGTCATTCATCCACTTATTTTTTGCAAGACTAGAATATTTCTATCCTTTTAGAAGTGCCGATACTTTTGGCCTTCAATACACGTCTTTTAATGCTGCAACTATGTATCATGGAGTTGTTTTATTTTTATAAATATTTCATGAGTTTAATCTTGGTGTAACATGAGTTTTACAGTTATCTCAGAATTTTTGTTCAAGTAAATTCTTTTATATAACAAATCTCAACACTATTATGTAGTATTGCTGCATGTGGATGCAAATCTTGATATCACTACATCAACTAGGATGGGTAGAAACCAGTCCAAAGGTTTTCCAGTTCCTTGTTTACTGGTTTCTGATTACAGAATAATTTGATCTAAGAATAAGTTCCTGTGTTACTCCAAAATGTGAAAGAAAAAGTGTATATGCATAGGAATTCTGATATCTGGTATATAAGGCATATTCGGATCTGCCGACAAATTAGAGGATATTAGAAAGTGAAAGCACTATAATGGTGGTGTAACGTCAGAGCCATACACATCCCAAGTTTCTTCTGTTTTTCCTTAGACACCAACCAACACTTATACTGCATATCACTTTTAATTTTATATACATTTATTCCATAAAAACAATTTAATTGAATAATTTAATATAATAATGAAATGGATGAATGTACGCAATTTGAGTATTGAACAAAATTACAAGTTTTGTAGAATGTATGGACTAAAATCTCGAGAAAAATATAGGAAAGTGAAAATATTTATGAAAATAACAAGTAAAAAGAGAAGAATTGAGAGATATTTTATTATTATATAACTTTTACCTACGGCTGAAGGTTGTGAACTATACAGATTAATGACTTTTTACTTACAGTTAGGTACAAGTTAATATTTTGTATCCACGCACATTTCAAATTGTAGATATAACCTGTGTTCATAGTTAAGGGTAGGTAATTGTATGCAAAAATATACCTATTGATAAAATTAATAGTGACAAACAATTAACTAATTAACTATCGTTGTTCGGTCTCCAAAGTTAACACAGAATTTGAAACATCTGCAGATTTTGAAAATTTTGGTGACTCTTTTTGCTGGTAGGTATAAGCCATTCATTGTCCTTTCAGATACTACTTTAGTTTAAATCATTTCGTTCATTACAATAAACATCATCATAATTAACATTATATTTTATTTCTTTTCTAAAATTTTGTTCAAGACAATAAAATAAATTTTATTTCAATCGAATATTTAAGTTAATACAGTAATTAATTACCCTTGGTTTAGTTTAATATAACAAGCACAATGTTGAGCTTCAAACGATATTTTGGTTTGAAGAATATTAAATTTATTAAAATATTTTATAGAATAATATTTAAGTAAATGCAATATTTTTTCTTAAATTTTTTGGATATATATATTGAATGTTTAGGTTTTGAAACAAAAGTTAGGTTGATTATGTTTAGTTGGGTATAATATTTAGGTCAACACAATATTTAAGTTCGGATAGTAGGATAGCATTTAGGTTTAGATTTTAGGATAATATTTAAGTTTGAATCATGTTAGTTTGATATTTAGGTCATTGTTAGGGAAAAATATTAGTTTAATATAATATTTATTTTAAGACAATATTTTATTTATTACAATATATATTGTAGAACAATATTTAAATTAGCACAATATTAGCTTGTGAAATATTTAGTATATGACTATGACTTCTAATAAATTTCAGTGAAAAATAAAAATCTTATTATTATTATATTTATTTCATGTATATGTATTTTAGGTAAAAAAATATAGTCATGTATTTAAACTTTAAATGGATTTAACTGCATATTTGTTGAAGTTTTTAGGTGCAGAAACATTTTCATGTATATATTTGATTGTCGCGGAGTTTATAGGATTTTATCATATACTTTTATATTTACCGTGCTATATAACCATTCAACCTAAATAAATAAATAAATTAAGAAAAAAAAGGTGATAACAATAAATTATCAACCGTTATAACGAACGGCAAACCAAAATAAAATAACCATTTCTAATATCTATTTTGTGTTTGCACTACACTGTTTCGTTGTGACTTAAATTTCATGGGGAAGAACAAAAAAGTTGATGAAAAGAAAGTAATAACAGTAGAATACAAAGTTTCAATGCACTGCAACGCGTGTGAAAGAATCGTTGCCAAAACCATTACCAAGTGTAAAGGCACACACATCATCTTCTGTCACTTGAACTTTTCAATCCTGAATAATAATGGTTGTTTAAATCTTGTTTTGTTTTAGGAGTGGAAAAGTTCATCAGCGACATGAACAAACAGCGGGTGGTGGTAACGGGTGGGATTGATCCGATGAAAGTGTTGAAAAAACTAAAGAAGAGAACGGGAAAGAGAGTGGAGATTGTGTCCAAGAAGGATGAAGAGGCAAAAGATGAATCTGATAAACTTGTCATAATGCATCAGTTTGCGCTTGAAAACGATTGCTGCATGAAGGCCACCGAAGCCATGATGATGTTCAGTGATGAGAATCCAAATGCATGTGCAGTGATGTAAACATGTTGTTGTATTTGTATGATCATCCTACATAAGGACAATTCTCCTAGTTTTTTATTCATTCACCGAACGAACACATACCAAAACATTATCTTGAATAGAAAAGAGAAAAGTATTACAGATGATGGTGTTGGCATTGAAGGATTGGGACACATGTGAGGTGATGCATTTCGTGGCATCTCCTTCTAATATGCTTAATTTACGTATGCAAACTTTTAGCCGCGCTTCCTACCAACGTGAAGAGGTGCATCAGATTAGCACCAAACGGAACAATCACCGCACATTCATAGTGCGCTTTGTGAGGCACATGGCATGATGTACTATTTTACTAAAAATGCCGCACCTACTTGCGTTATTATCTTACTTTTTTTAAATAATACATTTTATCTCTTCTCTTCAAACACATTTACATGGCAAGTTTAAATGTAAAAATCGTTTGTCAATAAACGTTATGTGATGCTTAACAAAACACGCTAGAACAGACATTTTTTACAATAATTTTTTCATTAAAAATCACGTTATGTGAGTAGTAAATAAAGTTAATTTTAAAGGAAAGAGTGCAACTGTTAATATGTAAATTTTACAAGTTTTTCCGGTAGATTTTGATATCCCTGTTGTGAGGCCTACCTCTAACTGATAGAATATTTTCAACAGATTAGCAATGTTTGCTTTCTTCATCTTCGGGACAGATTTCAGATTCAGTTTTGACCATTTCAGAAATGCTTTTCTTTTGCACTCACTGAAAGTTCAAGATTTTTCTTCTTTGTAACTAGTTGTCTTACAGTGACCCGACAGGCATGAGAAGAAAACCAGTAGGTTATTCATACTTTCAAAATGTAAGCACAAAGTAAAAGAGAGAGCAACATATCATGACACGTGGAACAGAAAGAGGTTGTTCGACAGATTTATAATATTATTGATCATTGATGACAACCTGAAATATTCACTGGAAAATTTCACAATATTACACTTCTTTTCATATTAAACAAGGTGGATCATGTTGTGATACTTTGTACAGTGTGTGAAGTGAAAGTTTTCTTTATGACGTGAGCTCTAGTGCTTCTCTTGTTTGTCCGAGTATATTGAACACTGTTGCTGCTATGTGAGATGGTGAGAGGCCCGCTAAAAACAATTGGTCAGCAGCTGATCCATGGTCAATATAACGATCCGGAAGGACTATTGGTCTCCACTGCATAGGTGTCATGCAAAGCTTATGAGGTTTCTAGAAAACTAGTAAAAGATTCATAGAAACGTCGAAGATGTACAAAATGCTTGTAGTTAGTTCGAATTGAAAAGACTTGTTTGGCTTCTTACCTTCAATTTGCCATCCAGAAGCCCATCAAGGGCCATGAACTGAGCAACATGAGAAGCAAATCCTCCAATTGATCCTTCTTCTACTGTGATCAAAACCTCATGTGATGTTGCCAGGCTGCGAATCAGGGAATAGTCTAGTGGCTTACAGAAGCGTGCATCGGCAACCGTTAAGCGCAAGCCATGACGTTCTACTAAGGAAGCCGCAGCCAAACAGTTTTGAACAGCTGATCCATAGCCCAATAGAGCCACTCTTTCCCCTTCGATCAATATCCTTCCTTTTCCAATCTGATACAATATCATAACAAAAACATCAAATGGGTTTGCAAAACAATTCCTAACACTCTCCATGAGGATATGTATGGGGATATAATTCTAACTTTACCTCAAGAGGTGTTCCTCTATTTCCGGTTGGTAGTTCTACACCAACGCCATTTCCCCTTGGGTATCGGAAACAACTAGGTCGATCATTAATGGCTGCTGCAGTGGCAACCATGTGAAAAAGTTCGGCTTCATCAGAAGGAGCCATTACCACCATGTTAGGGAGGCAAGCCATAAATGTGACATCAAAAGAACCACAATGTGTGGGACCATCTGCTCCAACTAATCCAGCTCTGTCCATTGCAAATCTTACAGGCAGCTTCTGTATGTCCACATCATGCACCACCTGTGGAATGGACAATGAACACATACGTTTGAGCACCGATTTTAAGCTAATGTTATGGTGGTTACTGATCATGCTTGACCACTAAAACACATGTCTTATCATTTAACTGATCATAGAGAAGAAATCATTTTTCCTGTCTAGGGAGAGGAGCCGTTATCCTACCTGATCATAAGCCCTCTGCAAGAATGATGAGTAAATTGCACAGAAAGGCTTAAGACCTTCACAAGCCAGACCCGCAGCAAATGTAACAGCATGCTGTTCTGCTATGCCCACATCAAAGCATCTTGTTGGGAAACGGCGATGGAAGAGATTCATGCCAGTTCCACCTCCCATAGCAGCATGGATTGCAACAATGTCTTTGTCAGCTTCAGCTTCTGCAATCAAAGCCTCTGCAAAGTATGTGGTGTAAGACTGAGTGGTAGCCTTGGATTTGAATTGCTTCCCAGTTGGTGGGTCAAACTTGGTAACCCCTGCAAAAATCAAAACCAAGTCATATATCCCCGAGGAAAGTAAAAGTCATTAACAACATTTTTCAGATGATTGATTATGCTTAATATTGATGGCAGTAACTCCTAGAGGTATTAGGTGCGCTCTAATTTTGAATTACCAAAATGTGATATATTTGTTTTATGATTTATGTTGATAAAAATTGAGAATCTAGTGATTCTTCCTTTACCATGGTACTTGTCTGATGCCTTTTCAGCATAAGGGTATCCGCGGCCTTTTTCAGTGATAACATGGATAAGTACAGGACCAGTTGTTTTAGTACTTTTCACTTCATTGAGAATGGCAACAAGATCGTCTATGTTATGACCATCAACAGGACCAATATAGTAGAGTCCAAGCTCTTCAAAGAGTGTTGATCCAGAACCACTGATCATGCCACGAGCATACTCGTCAACTTTTGCAGCCAATTCGTGCATGGGACCTCCAATTCGTTTAGTAACTCCCTATAAAAACATCATTATGTCAAGATTCAGTTTCGATAATACTTTGTGGCTGCAAATCCCTCATCGATAAACCCATGAACTTGTATTACTCACCTTGGCAACCTCTCTCAATTCTCTAAGAGGCTTATTTGATTGTAATCTACTGAGAGCACTACTCAGGGCTCCTACAGGTGGTATGGGTCCATCAAGAGTAGCAGTGGGTAAAGAGACCTGTTTGTTGTCATTCAGAATAACAATCATGTCGGAATCAAGATATCCAGCATTGTTCATTGCTTCATATGCTTGCCCTGCTGTCATGGCACCATCACCGATAACAGCAATCACGTTATTCTTTCTTCCCTTCAGATCTCTCCCAATAGCCATTCCTATTGGTTCAATAAGACTTCAAAAGTTAAAGCAAATCACAAAATACCACTTTTAAACACGAAGAAACAAACTCGTGCCACCTTCTAATTTTTTTCATTCATATAACATTTTATAAGTTTAATTTCTATGCCTTGTCAATATAATAATCTTTAGACTGTCAACCAATTAAAAATCATAATAAGTATGACGTCCAAGATAATTACTACAAAAGTCAATAAACTTACTGTGAATGACAAATTATGAATGAATGACAGTGTAAATTCATAGACTGTTTACTCGTTTTATTTAATCAATTCTCTCCATGAAACCCAGAGAACAGACAGAAGAGGTACCAAGTCCTGCTGAAATAGTGGTTGAGCTGTGACCAGTGCCAAAACAATCATATTCACTCTCAGAACGTTTGGTGAATCCAGATAACCCATTTGTCTGCCTGATGGTATGCATCTTGTCCCTCCTACCCGTGAGTATCTTATGTGGGTAAGACTGCAAATTCACACAAGATTATTCAATTTAGAACAAGTAACATCCATCCCCAAACAAAAGCAAAAGCACTAAGGAAGTTGAAGACCAACCTGGTGACCAACGTCCCACAATATCTTGTCCTTGGGGGCATTGAAGACATAGTGGAGGGCAACAGTGAGTTCCACCACACCAAGGTTTGAGCCCAAATGCCCCCCAGTTCTAGAAACACTGAAAATAACATCAGAACGCAGTTCATCCGCTAGTTGCTTCAGCTCCTACATCAATCAACATCCCCGCTTTCTCATACCATGATACTATCACAGTTTACAACAATAATACAATTGCAATTTTATTCTAACAAAACAAGCAGTATAGATTAGGTGCATGGTTCAATTAGTGTACCTTGGTAGAGAGATTCTTCATATGAATTGGATAGTTTACAGTGTCGAGTAGAGGAGTTGGCGGTCTCTGGGAATAATACTCTCCATTCTCTGACATTGAGGCATAAACCCCACTTGACCTTTTCTTCGCCTTCACACATAGCAAACACCACATGCACATACCCTTTAATTCAGCAATCACAAAAAACAAAAGGAAAATTTTGAAACAACGCTAAATTATCAAATCCCATTCCCGACCAAAAAGAAAAAGGTGGTTTCGAAGAATAAGGAAGGGGCATTGCATGGATAAACTGTAACCTGGTTGAGCCTGTGAATGTGTTGGGATTGGGCGGGGAAATGGAGGCCCCGTTGAGGAAGTGAAGTACGAGGATCAGAAGAAGGGGTTGGACGGTTCAGAAAAGAAGAGTACGAAGAGAGCGCGTATAGATCCATGATGAGGAGAAAAGAGAAGTGAAGAGTATGGAATGCGAAAGAAGAATCTTTATAGAAGAGAAAGAGGGAGGAAGCAGGCACAGACAGTAACAGATTGCGGGAGGGATGGATGAATGGATTTGACTAATATTATCATATCATATTTGATATTTGAAAGAAGAAGTAGAGAGAGAGAAGACGTGTGTCAATGTGTGGCTGAGGGATAGAGAGATGAAATGAAAAGAGAGAGATTTGATTTGGAAGAAAGAAAGGGAGTAAAGAAGCATGGTTTGTGTGAAATGGGAGAAGGAAAGTGGTGTTCGTGTCATTTGATTTGTTTAATTGAGTTGGGAGAGGTGGTGAGCGATGAGTGATGTGTGTGTTGATTGGACCACGTCACACTAGAAATCACAAACGGATAGATTCATTGGATACACAGATATTGGCGCGTCTCAACACCATCCTAAGTTGTTCTCTTCTTTGTTTGTCTCTCCCAATTCCTCACTCACTTGGGTTGGGTTGGGAATGATGGGAATCACAATGCCGTGGCGTGTCTAATCTACATTCAATGCTGTTCCTTTTTTTTGCGCTTCTTCTCCTACGTGTGTCTCTCCTCGACCATCGTCATCATGTCGTCTCATGATAATTGTAAGATATAAGGAAGAAAACAAGTACTATATATATATAAAAAAAAAAATCAGTCTTAAAATTAGTTTTATTTAACTTTTTTTATCTAATATTTCTTTCATTTTTCCTATACAAAAAACAAATACTTAATTTATAAAAAACAGTAGTGATTAACTTTAATTAATAATATCATGAATTTATATCCTATTTTAAAAATATTTATACAATTTACTGATAGCTTTATTTTATTTAAAATATAGACAATTGAAACTTATTTTTCTTTCATATATTACTTCTTATCGTTTAATTTTTTTCATATAATTTGTCTTCAATTTATTTAATTGTGGTCATATAAGTTTTCATTTGTGTTTTATAAATCTATTCACTTTTAATATACTAATTTATTATTTATTGAGAAAATTAGTTTTCTAATATTAACTTTTAGAAAATGAATAATAATTTATATGATAAATAGAATTTATTATTAATATAATAACAATGGTACTTCAATCGAGGCAAATATGATAATACCCTTAATCGTGGTGAAGATCAGAAAGAAAATTTATTGTAGTAAAATACACATCACACTTTTAAGTAATCATATGAATTTAGAAGTCCCATACAGAAGGGCTCTATTTTAGTGACCATAAAACAGAAAACACTTTCAGGGGGCCACAGCAACTACAACTCAAAAAAATTCACAAGTACTATTTCCACCAAAATGAAATTTCTGATTATATAATTCAAAATTTATAATTATGTTATGACAATTTTAATAAATAAAACAGGAGCGCTACTGCGCAAATCATGCATAAATAACATTAGCTAAAAGATTGAAACAAATAACACATTTAAGATGCACTATTTTTTATTAAAGAATAAAATATATCCTTAAAATTAGGATATTTATTTTATATAAAAAAAAAGGAAAAGATACTTATAAAGCATGATATGAAATAAAACCATTATAACTATATTTTCTAAACTTAGTTTAAACTTTTAGCTTAGATGTCGCTTTTAAGTTATAAACAAAATGAACCAAACATATTATAAATAATAAAAACGATTGACGAACCAATATCCGAAATTTTGAAACAGCGACAGGAGTCTAATCGGAGTCATCGAAAATGACAAACCAAGTCAAACTACTTTCTGATGGGAGGTAGTCTCCTAAGGACGACTAAATATTAACATCAGACTTTGCTTAGCTACATTTGTATCTTTCAAAATGTCAAAGTTTTAGCTACAGTGTGTGGTCACATGAAGACCGCATTGACCACCTTCAAATATCCGATTGTTGGCAAATCAGCGTGGACTGCAGAAAGAGCAAGAATGAATTAAAGGTAAATTCATATTTAAAGCTAGGAGCCTTACTTGTAAATATATGACCCTACTACAGGATTATATTTTCAGACTTCTTTCATCACTGTCTTAAACAGAATCTTAAAGACAATTTTTAATTAACAGATAGATTTCATTATATTTACAATTATATCAAATTCAATCAATAATATACTCTTCAAATTCATACCTGTATGAACGTGATCGAGACCTTGAAGGACTGCGATCATTACCCCTAGGACTCTGGGATCTGCTAGGTGTCTGACCCTTCTTGTCATTAGGACTCCGACCATTTTCCCTGAGACGCGGGGACTTCCTGTAGTCTTTCCCAGCACTAGGGGAGACAGACCTAGAATAAGATCTAGATCTCTCAGGAGAATAATAATCATCCCTACCCCTGTCATCCCTATATGACACATCAGTGAGAGATCTCAGTTATAAAAAGATAATAAAAGCGGTCAAATGAACACTATAACATATACTACACAGTTTAAAAAATTACCATCAGTAAACATTTCATAAATCAGTAGAGATCTGAATATATGCAACTACACCAGAATACACACAAAATCACTCAAACCAAGATTTCAATTTTTATCTCGAGAGAACTAATACTTCTCTTCAAAATCTAATTAGCCAAATTATGACCTTTACCTGTCCTCTTCAATAGTTTTGGACAAATATGACACTTGGATCCAAACACAGTTACTAATGAAAACCAAAGTTTTATTTTTGTTTTATTAGAGAACTAATACTTACTTCCTCTTCAAAATCTAATTAGCCAAAATATGACCTTTACCTGTACCTTTCCATAGTTTCTGGACAAATATATAACACTTGGATCCAAACACTGAGAGTTATGATGTACTGCAAGATCAGCATCTGGTAACTTCATAGCTCTCTTTGTTCCAACTTTCTAAAATCACAACTATCTTTCTTGCACAATGTCATCACATCTCTACCCGTATAAACTTTGGCTTCCATTCTTTGAGGATGTGATTACCTTTGGCCAACTATATGCTTTATATTCTTTCTTAACTGGATAGTATACGCAAAACAAGATATTAAACTAAATAATCTTCCTCACATAAAATTTATACAAGGGAAACAAAAGAAGTACTCATTTTAACCATTCCTTCAGGCACAAACCAAATACCACAAAGTACGGAAAGCCCATGCAACTGGCACAATAAGGCAAATTTGATATGGATATTTCTTATGGAGACTTTGATAGATACATAAGCAAAGTAGCGCATCACTTTAAGCCTCTTTACTCGTTAATCTTTATTATTCCATCTTTAAAGTCTTCAATTTCACTTTATTATCTGCATAAAGAAGACCATAAGCAGATATCATTCAATTCATTTAAACACATTAAAGGAGTGTTGTCAAGGTCAAACGATTGGGAGCCGTTCTAATTGCAAGTAAACCTGGAAATTATACTCTAGCTGAACAAATTAGCAGAATTATCAACATCGATATAAATCAACTTGTTACTTTGATGGTCAATCAATATAGACACACTTTCAGAACATATATACGTATATATATATATATATATATATATATATATATATATATATATATATATATATATATATATATATATATATATATATATATATATATATATATAAAAACTCAATAATCAAATCAGAGAGTGTTTATGAAATGATATTTTCAATAGAATTGAGGGCAAGATTGATAGTTGCAAACAAACAAACAACCAAACAAATGAACAAATAAATCAAACTAAAAGACATTAGTTTCATTCCATTGTGCAAGCAAACAACTTAAAAGTACGGCACATGGCACCAATCCTGTTTATAATAAAGAGCATATTCAGCTCAAAGAAATTTTAGGTGTATGTTAAAGATAATAATTGCAAAAAACCAAGAAACATGAACTGTATTAAATGTCATAAAACCAGCTAGCAAACTCTGATTCGGTTGTTTTATCTACATCTACTTTCAACCCCTACAGCTCTGCAGAGAAACTTTGACCATTATTAATATATCATTCATTTGTGATGCCTAGATACCTGTCACATTGCACCTCAAATGAAAACACTCTATTCACGGCTTAGTAAATGCAAGTATTTCTGACTTCCTATAAATAATATTTCAGAATCTAAATACTATGAAATGTTGCACCACTGTCATTTTAGTGAAAACTAGGCTGTTCATACCAAATTTCCCAAAATTATGAGGTTGTTCAATAAAAATATTTAAAAATGAAAATTAGATTGTTATTTGTGTAAACTTCATACCTTGAATCATCCCTAGCAGGTGATGGAGACCGAGAATAGGCTGCAAAATTAGCAGGTATAATAATATAAAAAAACAAGGAAGAGCTTCAAGTAAAAATGATGAAATACGAATATAATATCATAATCATCGCATTATGAAACTAAAATAGAGATGAGTAGTTAAACTGACAACGATATCGGCGTTGTGGCGATCTAGATCGATTCCTCCTTCTACCACCTCCGTATCGAGTACTTATGATAGAAACACAAAACAAATGTTAATAAACATTATAAAGAAGTCAACTTATGAAGATTTTCACAAATGCAAAGCTGAAATAAATTAGCAAATCAAACAACCGTCACACCTTCCTCGAGAACTAAGTCGCATTTCTTGAGGAGTTTTCCTATTTTCCTCAGCAAAAACAATTCTTATTTCCCGTCCACCAATGATAGTGTGATTAAGATGTTGTTTTGCCTCAGCTGCATCTTCACCATATCGATATTTCACAAATCCAAAGCCTCGGGGTTCACTACAAAATTTTTTCATTTAAATTTCAAATTGTGAAAGCAAAATGCATATGGTTCAAAGACCTCTTTAGACAAGCTTCCCCAAAGCCCTTTAGTGAAGAAAATTAAAAAAAAAAAGTACTTCTATATAAGCTAAATTTAGCTTATGCACATGTTTAAAATAGAAAATTAGAAAAGTCGTATAAGGGGGAGCTTGTAGACAAATTAGTTCATACATGAGCTACTTTAGCTTTTTGAAATAATTAATTTCAATTTTTTCTTATTTCTCTCTCCTAAGATGAGCTTATGGAAAAGTTCATTCAAACAGGTCCAAGAAAGCAATGTATCAAAAGCAGATAGTTTTGATAGTAAAGCAGAAATACCCAGTGTAGTAATTTTTGGGAAGATAAACATCCTTCACAGGACCATAGCGCTCAAAAGGGATCCTAAGATCCTCAGGCCTGCAAAAAAAAAAAATTAACTTGATTTCTTTAATCCCTTCTATTCAAATTTTGATCTGATAAATGTAACAGTGTCATGAAACAGTCATTAAGTAAAGTGTCAAAAGGGGGTTTCAGACCCGGGATCGAATGTCATGGGTGTGGCAACACTTCCTGACAAGCACTTTTGAAATGTTAAGGCGGCAGGATAATTCCTACCATTTGAACATTTTCCCACCCTTTGTCCTTTTTTTTTATTGTAGAATTCTTTTATAATTCCCATCAGTTTTACAATATAGGATTTAATTTATAGAACATTTAATCTATAAGGTAGCACTCCTTCTAGAAGATAAGGTGACATGAGAGCGTAGTGAATCACGCTATGGATTATAAATTACATGCATATTTGGCACATAAAGAGCATTGCAATGTCAGTTATGTGGTATGGTAATGAAATGAATTAGCACTAGCAGAACGAAAACAGAGGGAAGGAAAAAGAAAGGACCTGGCATCGAGAGGGAGATTACGAACAAGCAAGCCGGAAGGAAGAGGTGAGCGTCTGTCTCTGTATGACCTGCTGTCAACATAGCGATCCTCGACATAACGCTTGCGACCGCGCGGTGGCGGTGGCTGTGGCGGTGGGGTCCTGCTTCGTCGGCGAGGGCTATAGCTTCTGCTTCGGCTTCGATACCTTCCCATTCCTGCCTCACACACAAACCCTAGCTTTCGTTCCGAAGAAACAAATAAAACCCTAACACACTATTGCAAAAAGATACCAAACCAAACCGCTAGCGTTAAAATAAAAGAGAACGAGAAAAAAGTATGTGTGGATGTGAATATATAGCTGATTCCATCAATTCGGCCAGACCCGTTTATTTATCTATTGGCTATAACCCGATGTCATCCAATTTAAATTTGGATTGTTTAGGGTAAATTTATAATATTAGGCCCAACCCAAAACATCAGGGAACTGGTTATCAAATTTTTTTAAAATTATTAAAATGAGATTTTAAAGTATTTAAAAAAATAATTCTTACATACATAAAATTAATTTTACCTAAGTCAAGTTTATTAACTAGAAATTGTTATGACTCATTCTAAAAATCAACAATATGTAATCATTTACGAAAAAAATAAAGCTTTTATTATGATATTTTTTATCATTATGTTAATTTAAACTTCATAAACTTTTATTATTATTATACCTTAGATTCTTTCTTAATTTATTTATTTTTATATCATCACTTTTGAACGTGTTATTTTTTCATAACATAGTAACCTTTTTTCACTTCTTTAGTAGTCTTTTCCCTCATTATAATTATCATTGAACAAAAGCTCTTTTAACCCTTCATCCAAGACCTAAACCACGGTTATATTAGTTACGTACCATTTATCATTCAGCCAGATTATTTTGCACATGGGATATATTAAAATGAATAATGTTGAAAGTTTTATCGATGCCATTCTTAGAATATTGAATATGAATAAGTTATTTATTTGTTTTTTATATATTATCTTTGTTTCAACAAATTTTTGTTTAGAAGATTACATATTGTTGGTATTTGTATCCATTAATTTAAGGAGAAAGGTGGAGACAAATATTAAGATAATGAGAAAGAAGAGTATTTGTGTACATGAGGAAAGAAGTGATGATAAAAGAAAAATGAAGTTACACTCTTATTCTCCCTCTCGTAATCCATTGATGGTATAAAACTGTAACATTCACGTGACTTTGTGCATATATGCAGTGATCATAAAATTGTCTTCAAAGGTTCAATGCATCCCTTTCATACAAAGAATCGTTGTAGTTTAACTACACCCCTCACATGTAGTGAGCGAGAGTGTTATTAAATACATCAAAAGAATTTGTTCATGAAGGTGAATTGGTTGAGGTTGATTTGGTGTGCGGTGTGTGTGTTACATTGGTGGTGATGCTTGACTGAGAAAATGGTTGAGAGAGGCGGAGAGAATTACAGAGAATCGATTCTCCCTTCTTTTGAACACATGGAAAATTGATTGTCTGTGAGAGCATAATTAATTTTCTTTTCTTTCACATGTAAAGAATTGGTTATTTTAAATTGAATGTGTGAAGAATATGTTCTTTCAAATTGGATCTTACAGTGAGTTGGTTCAATAGTAGGATCCGTACATTGAAAATTATATTTGTTTATCCTACATTATAAACACGAAGACATTCCTATATAATGATGGATCATATTTTCGTATCAACCATTGAAGACCTTGCTGGTTTCTATAAACAACAATAGAATAAATTAGAAAAATTCATCTGATGATATAATTCAATCTACACTTACATTACATACATGACCAATGATCTTAAATATTCACACAACTTATGTTTTCTTTTTGAAATTTTGTATATTCACATACTTACCATGATTGACTAACATATTCTTACTACCTTTCAAATAACCTAAATTTTCATCCTTGAAAACTAAATCATTTGTATATGATTTTCACCTAAATAACATGGTAATGCATTGAAGAGGGAGGATCGATTCTCACCAATAAAAAATAGATTCTAATATAACCAAAATTGGATTTTGAATATTTTTAAAAATATTATATTTATTAGTTTTATGTATATTTTTCACTAAGAAAAAATTACAAAATTACACCTATATTTAATTATTATTATTATTAAATAATAAATTATGTTTATTATATATATTTTTAGTATTAATATTAATAAGAATATTCTTTATTAGAGTATTAACACATAAATTTAATAATTTATAATTATCAATTATTTAAAATATTATATAATATCTAAATATTTGATGATATAAATTTATAAGTTAATTGTAAAATATAATAGAATTATAAATTTGAGTGAAGAAAATATGTAAATTAGATATACTTATAATATTATAAATATTGATTTTAATTTTAGAAAAAAATATTAGTAATATAATAATATTAATAATATTGTTGGTGTGTTAGTATTTGAAAAATAATAAGAAAAATAAGAATCTAAAATTATTATTTTTATAATGAGTTTAGTTTTATATTTTTTATTTCTTTTATCTTATATAAATATTTGTATATAAAAATTATTATAATAATTATGTTAAAAATTATAATAAGACAATTTTTAATTATCACTTTACCATAATTTTAACTTGAAACAACTTAAAAAAAAAAACATGATGCAGAATTTTATATTAGGTATCATATTAAAATTTGGGACAATAACATATATCTTTTATACATTATTATTAATTAAAAATAAAATGTTATTTTATTTAAAATAATAATCAAAAATTTATTTGAGATTAATTTTTATAAATTATATTTTAATATGATTATATGTGTTAAAAATTTCCTATTTTAAATAACAACTTATATTTTATTTTAACATAATTTATGTCAGTTATATTTTATTTTAATTATTTTTCAAGACAAAAAGTAAAATTATAATCTTACAATTTTATTAATTAAAATATATTTTTAATTTATTAAATCAATTACATTACTCACAATTTTTTTCTTATTTTCTTTTATTTCTTATCAAATTTCCCTCAATCCAAACAATTTCATTTTCACCTCTTTTCTTATTTAAATCTATCATTTTTCACTTCTTCAAATTTATACTCTAATTCGAGACACAAATTTAAAGATGACAATTAAACTCATACTCACGAGATCAATTTATTCTCTTGTTGAATCTAACAGGGAAAAATCGATTTGACAAGAGATAGGAACAAGTTCAGATTTTCATGTTTTTTAAAGTTGAGAAGGAGGATGAGAATAAGTAATATAGTTCCCATTCTACCTTTGTATTTAAATTTAAATTCTAAAATTTTAATATTTTTAAAATATTTTATTTTCTTTCTCCCATTATATATAATATTTTTTTTTTATATTTCACCATTTTTATATTACCTATTTTTTCATTCTTTTATTTTTTCAATTTCTTATATTAATATGTTCATTATATTATTCTATTTTTATTATCTTTGGTTTCTTCATATTTTCCGAATCTCTTTAATCAATTTTATTTTTCCAATATTTTTAATGAATTTGAGAAACAAAAAGTTAATTTTTTTCTTTAACTTTTTCTCAATATTTTACGTCAATTTTATTAGTAACTAATATTATTTAATTTCTAATTTTTTTATTAGGTTGTTTTATTATGTTATATTTTTTGGTTTTATTAATTCTATTTTTTATATATAAATTTTTTAATAAAGTAATTGTATTTTGAAAAATTTTAAAAAAATTATTAAATTTTTTATCCCTTTTAACTAATTAAATAAGAATTAATTTATTAAATATTTTCTCAAATTATATATTTCATATTTATAAATATTTTAAAATATTAACTTATATATATAACTAAATTTTAAATATAATATTATAATAATAATATTTTAAGTATTTTATATCCATGAAAAAATGATTAAATATTTATATATATATATATTATTAATATAAATATAATAATTAAAAATTATAAAAATTTATTTTTTGTAAAAATATATTAAATATATTAAAATTAATTTATTATAAATATAATTATTTTTTATAAATAATGTAAAACGAGGACGAGTAGAGGATAAAGATAGAGAAATCAAAGCTCAAGGAAATGGAGAATAAGACATAATTTTAAATCCCAACAAAAAAATTCAAAATCTAACGGGAAACAAAGAGAAGCACTTACTTACGTGCAAATTAATTATGTAATCCGTATATTCTCTTATAAATATTTTATTTTCTTTACTTTCTAAAGACTTATGTGTGATGGTTTTGTAATTGTCCTTATGCATATAAATTGTGTTTCTTATTTGATTTTTACTTGTAGTTTAATGTTGATAACTAGGAGATTAGTTCATTCATGTTAGGAGGTTAGGTGCTGAGAATAATAAGAAATAAAATAGTAAATTATATTATTTTATTCATATCATAAAAAATACCATGATAAGTAACGCATGAGAATATTTTTAACTATTATTATTTCTTAGTGAACGGAAATATTATTATGTTTATATTCATAGATATGTATTATGGGTGAGTAATTTTTATATGGATTTTTTATTAATTATAAATAATAAAATAAAATTATTAATAAAGAAGACCTTATCATTAAATAATTATTTTAAATTTGATTATATATATATATATATATTAAAATATAATATTTTATCATTTAAAGATTATAATTTTTTTATGCTATATAAATATATAATACATTATAAATATTTACAAATTTCACTTTAAATATTGATTACAGTTGAATAACTTAATTTGTAAGATTTAAATATAATTATTTTCTCACTTTATTTCAATAAAAAAATACCAATTAATAAAAAAATTTATATAATATTATTGTAATAAAGTCTTGTTTTTAATATATACAGTATTTTATATAAAAAATACATATTAGTTTACTAGCCCGCTATAATAAGGTAAGTGAAATATATAGAGTATTGTTCCATCTAATATTTAGCATAAAATTATAGAGGTAGATTAATCTAATTTAGCATATTATGGATTCAATGTTATTTTTAAATATATTAATTTTATTTTTAAAAAGACTAATTTTATTTATAAACAATTTTATTAAGATTATATGTTAACAGAATTTTTATTTAAGTTTATATTTCAAAGAATAAATTGTAAATGATATTATTTAAAAATAAAATAATAAATTATATTAATTGTAAGGTGGTGTGCTT